AAAACAAACAAAACAAAAAAAGAAAAGAAAAAGAGTAGTGGCCACAACTCCCAACTTGGGCATTCTATTAAATTAATCGTCAATTATCAACGGAGCTGCAAATTATCTAGGCCTATGGGGAGCAAACAGCTGAAACCAGGATGCAACAATGTACCTCAAAAGTGGCGAGGAAAAAGCCATTACACTTACACCAAACTAAATTATGTGTCGAAATTGTTTTGCGGTATTTCAAACCATATAAATAGTTAAGTTGAAGATAGGCACGATAAAATAACGAGCTGTTGGTTTCTTGTATTTAATTTTTCACTGCCTTTTCAATTAAAATAAGAGGAACTAAACTAATCAATTTCAGATTATTTTCATTAAATTGTGGCAAACCTGGTTTAATTTTTTTTATTTTTTTTATAATTTTTGTTCCTAACTGCAAATACATATTCACATATTTTAAAGTTTAAACATAAAATGTTACCCCTAATTTACTGCCCTGCAAACTAAGGACGAACTTTTATCAACCCCCTTCTAGCCACCAGAAAAACTATTGCCAAATTTTTAGAGGGCCAAGGATCAGCCCCCCGCGAAAGAAAAGCAAAAGCTTTACATGCAATTGGGCTTGAGCAAACGTCGGAACCGCACGGCCAACTTGTTCGCGTTCGCTTGTTCAATGTGTTTAATTAAATAGCAAGCGTAATTAAATTGCAATTAAATTAATTAAAAAGCACGCAGCCGCAGCACGTAAGCAAACGGTTCGGTTTTGCCGTTGTCCTGCCATTTCCTGTTGCCCGAATTTCAGTTCCTGCTCCTGTTCCTGTGCTCCTGTTTTGATGGTATTTTTTGAAGAGGGTTTTTTCCCGCTTGCCATTCAGTTTAGGGTCCAACAACGACGATTGGCGGCGGTGTGAAAGGAAAACAAAACGAAATATACAATGTTGCCCTGGACATGGATTCCCTTTTTCAACAACCACCCACACACCCAAACCCACACCCACCCAACATTTCCCGCAATTTCCTCATTTTCCTTTTGCCGCGCACAATTAGACTTTAATTTTTTATGAGCAATGAATGGTTTCACAGTTTTACTTTTTGGTGTTAAATGCTTGATTAAGTTGGATGGTGAAAGCTATGCAAATTTTCCTCTTTTTTCGTCAAGGGATAGAGTTGGAAAATTGGCTGCTTTGATGTTCTTGCTTCGTGGGGGATGAAAAACTCCATAACAATTCCCACTCTTTGTCTTAATTGGTGCAATGACAAAAGTTTATTTCTAGCTGCTAGAAAATGCAGGCCCAAGATGTATGCAGATGTCGAAGAAAATGCGGGTAAATGAAAGAAAATTCACTCAAGCAGCTAGAGATGTTACCAAAAATTAATTGGCCAAAGGGTTTGAAGATTGTTAATGGAGATTTAGAGGATATCTATCAAAGATTGTTGGGTGAAGCTGCTTAGCCCTTGGCAAAATAAACAAGAAACTAAACTTGAGTTTGTAAATAAAGTAAAATTAATTTTGGGATTGAACATCAAAGTAGCTTAATTATAATAATCGGTTAAAATACTTTTAATTAAAGAATCGGATATCTTTTTGAATTGTTTTACAACTTGAAACCACTGCCATATTTCTGGAAAATTAGTTTCAGAGATAACCAATGTTATTTATGACTTTTCTTGAAGATATGAAAACTTAAACATAATTCCCACAAAAATGATTTATATTTGCCCATTAATTTCAATTCAGGGGCAGCACATAATCGAAAGTAAATGAGCAGGCAAGCCAGACGAGACCAAACCGACTGACCAATTTCCTACAAAAGTTCCGCCATAATAGCCAAGTAAAATCAACAATAATAAAGCCACACAGCACGTAGGCAAAATGAACAAATTGAATTGCGGCAATTACTTGCCACGCTACGCAAAATCAGACAAGGAAAGGGGCAAGGCAAAAGACAATCCGAGCTCAAGTTCATAAAAATGAAATCATGCCACAGCTCAGGCAGAAGATCAAAGAGGACAAATCAATAAAGCCCCAGTGCAGAAATAACTTAAAGTCAGCCAAGTCGGTCGGGTCGGTCAGTCAGGCTGGCAGGCAGGAAGAATAAAATACAGAGAGAGAGAGAGATAGAGTCCAGAGTCAGGGGCGACCCCAAAAACAGAACCAACTTGACCTGGTCAAGGCTAAAGGCACATAAAATAAAATTATACAACGGCGAGGAGGGAAAACTAAAGCAAACTGTCTTTTGATCTATGGTAGCTCTACATCTACAGCTACAGCTTCGGATGATGATGATGTTGGATGATGATGATGGTAGGATGGCTGAATGGCTGGCTCATCCAACAATGTGGAGCAACCTCAACGACCAGTCGCCGAGTAAATTGGCATAAGAAATCAGAAATCACAGAAGGCTGCGCCTCTCGGACTCTGAGATAAATGGTCATGGCTTCTTTGGTCAAGAGCAGCGAGCAGCGGCGAATGCAATATTAAGTAAATATACAAAACGTTGTCGGCACGGCGCACAAAACTAATGATGTCGATGAAGCTGGGGGAATATCTACCGACTCCAAGCTCCAAGCTCCAAGCTCCAACTCCAACTCAAACTCCAACTTCGACTTGGACTTGGGTTCAGCCTGATAATGATGCGGCAGACAGACGCAGATACAAACAGACAGGAGGAGACAGGACACAGGAGGTGGATGTGGAAGTGGATGTGGATGTGGATGTGGAAGACGACTGGACACTGGCGATATACACACGCCAGGTAATAAATTTCATTTCTCAGCTGATATGGGCAATTAAGGAACAATTTTGCAGCTGAATGAGTAATAAATAAAAATTGTATGCCAAGCGATACGTACGCAGATACAAAACTGCAAGACGTCGACGGTTGTCCGTTGTCGGTTGTCGGTCGTCAGGCCCCAAAGATAGTTTTTGGGATAAAAATACTCGCTGTTGGCTGTTGGCTGCTGGCTGCTGGCACACACACAAAACTGGCCAAGAATGAATGAATGAGGGACTGAGTCGGAGTCTGAGTCTGAGTCTCAGTCTGAGCAACTCCTCTGCATGCCTGCCCTTTTGATGAAAACAACTCAATGACGTGATTTGTGCCGCCAACGTTGCGGGCATTCCATCCACCATCCTTAGCGAAATCCTGCCTCATATAAATAAATCACATTTCACTGGGTCTGATGTGCAAAATTCTTCATCCGCTGAAAAGGGTTCTTGTTCTCTGGTTCTCATCTTCTAAGATTTCTTTTTGGGGGGGCCATAACTTAAAGCTGCGAAATATTTTTGCATAATAAATCAAACTTCCGCCGGGACTGCCGCTTTATCTTTGGCTTTTCTCATATAGCTTCGAAGAAGTCCATCAAATGTTGCCATTTATCCGGCAACTTGTCTGCTCTTTGGCATTATTTTAATTACACTCAAAGCCGGCGGCTCCCAAATTCAAAGACTCGTAGCAATAAAACCAGAACCCAAAACCCAGAACCTGAAGCCAGAAGGCTAAAGGTATTTTTTAAATGCTCCTTTGCACTGGAAAAAATGCGTATGTGCAAATTATCAGAAATTCTGATCAAGGTTATCAATAAAATCCAATGAAATTCATGAGTAAAAATTATTTGTAATAATTTTTTTAATACCTTCATTTCTTGTATTTAAATTTTCGAACTTTATTTTATTTCCAGTGCAAGCTGTGGATTTGCTTTGCAGAAAACGAAACATTTTCGGGGCCATCGGTGCCTTTTTGGTAACACATGATATGTCGCCTACCTGGGAGTTGCCTTTGGCCAGGAGTTGGAGTTGCAGTTTCTGGGATTCAGGGATTCCGGGGAACCAAAAGGCAGAGAAAGAGGAGCACTCGCTGAGTGGAGAACAATGGAGACCGGCATGGAGCAACATGACACTCGAGTCTCGAATCTCGAGTCGCAGGATAAGGGGTTATACTATATAGTATACTCTCGCACACAACTGGCGAAGCCAAAGCTAAAAGCTTGCCATACAAAGGCCACTGGTCAGCGGAGAGTTGGTGTTGAGCACTTGGATCTGGGAGACAGAAGGTGGAGTTCTGCAGCTCTGCACTTCTGCTGCTTTGCCTCTGTTTAAATGTTCTCCATTTTACTGTCAAGTGCGGACCGGACCGGGTTGACATTTTCCAACGATGCAACTGCCCCTGGGACCCTCCCCTCCCCGCGATATTCCTTTGCCCACCTCCATTATTTGATTCTGCTTCGCATGTCGAGAATTTTAATTTAAGTATGTAAACTGACATTGAATAGTTTTTCGCCAGGGAGCGCACAGCTCGCTTTCCTTTTTTTGTGGGCGGCAATGGAATGGGGGGACTCAACCGAAACCCAACTCAATGAAAATGAGGATAGGGATGGGGTTAAGAGGGGTTTTATGTAGTTTAGGAGACCGGGCGAGTGCAATTTCAGTTTTGTTTGCAATTGGATTTCGTAATAGAAATCTCTGGCCAAAGTTTTGCTTGCAGCGGGTGTGTGCGGGCTATTTCAACATGCTGGATTGAAAGTTTTATGACAGGCAGGAGCTGATACTTTTAATAGACATTTAAACCCTCGCCTCGCATTCTTTATCAGACGGGGTAGCCGAATTTCGGCATTTTAATGATGCTCCGAACGACTTTTTCTGTTACTCAACTTTAGTTTAGTCGAAGTTGCAAAATTCAAATTAAAATATTTAATAAACTACGCAAAGTCTAAAGGTAAGTCAAAATAGCCTTAAGGCTCATCATTAAACAAATTTTTTAAATTAAACAAAAGAATGTTAGGCCTATGACATACACAATTAAGATGAGTTTTTTATCGGTAATCCAAATTAAATTTGTTTTTCGCTGTTCCTCAACTCTACAGTAAAATTCGTAACTCGTTTGCGGGGTTTTTTTTGTATTTTTGTTGCTAAATGCACTGCCATTAAACAGTTTGAAGCAAAATAATTATCAAAATTCCTAAAGCTCTTATATTTCTTAAAGGATTTTTATACATTTTCTGCAGAAACTTACCGGTGTTGAGTATGGATGCGCGGTGAGTCGGACTCCGTCCGTTTCCAGTTGCTCCCGCAGGACGAGTTCCAGTTCGTTGCTGGGCGGTGTTTCGCAGAGGATCTCCATGCTGCCGGAAAGCGAGTTCGGATCGTTGAGCATGAAATAGACGGAGGCAGCGCCCTTTTCCCTCAGCGATCGGATGCTTTTCAGCAGCTTGTGTCGATGGGCAGGATTTTCAACGCCGATGGCGTCCAGATCGGGATCACCGACCTGTTTGCAGATCTCCAGGTCGTCGTAGCCATTGTCCAGGAAGCTCTCGGCGTATTGGGCCAGGCCCAAAGCTCTTAGCCACTCGCAGACAATATTGCTAACGGCCATGATGAGGTGAGTAGTAGTGGGTGGTGGTGCTTTTATATAAGACGGAGCGAGCTGCTTACGTGTGCCCTGCCAATTACCGCTACAAAATGGCGTCTATTAGTTTAACTGTGTGTGTTTGTGTGTGTGTGTGTCTGTGTTGGTGCGCGTCACGTGCTGGGGGCGTTCAGGCGTGCCACGCCTCCTGCTTGCATGCAATTTCCGTTGCCACTTTAAGCTATTGTATTGTTTTAAATCGTCCTCCCTGGAGCATTTTCTTTAATTTGTTTCCCCGCCCCAGACAGTTGTAAAAATTCAACGCGTACACTCATAAAAATTTATATCGCACTTTGAGCATTTTTAGCATAATCCCAGAAGGCTCCAACAACGCTGGTTTATCCTCACATTTTGTTTGGCGCCGCCGTCGCTGCTCCGCATGGCTCCTGCAAAAATGGATAGAAACGTGCATTTTAGTAGTCAGCAGAAAAACGTTTATTTTCAATAATTTAGAGAGCGGCCGGAAAATTGCATAAATTTGAAATGGCTGGCCGCATATGGTGAGCCCGCATATGTCTATGCAAAATAGATGATATAGCCCCCTTCCCTCCCTCCCCACACACCCCCAACCGCCCATTCCACAGCCACAAACAGAACCTCCGGAAAATCTGGCATTCCCACCATAATATATCTCGCACAAATCAATAGAGCCCGCGGCTATTGCCACAATTGATGTTGATGACGTTGCATAGCCGAGATTCAAATCAAACTCAGAATGCTAGAAAATTAATTAAATCCAGTAGCAGCTGCGGTTTGCTCAACTGCACGCCCTCACGCATTTCCAACCCCCTCCAAAGTTCCCACAATCCCAAATCTTTTGGCTGGGAACTCCTTATCTAGGTAAAAGGGCTTATAATGCGTGCATTCCCTGCTCATGCACACCATATCGTTCCATCATTGCATACATATAAATGTACGAATGAACCCCCACTAAAAGTTGCTTCCGCTTTGGAGAATCCATGAGGCGTTAAACGCAAACTAAAAGCTTATACACACAGGCAATTTTTTTTTTCTTGGGAAGGCGTGTGCCGCGCTTTGGGCTTCGTCGCTCATTGATAAATGATTGATTATCAATCCATTCAGGGGATGTGTGTGTGAGTGGGTGTGTGGGCGCGCTGCGGTTTCCCCTGGCTTAGCACTAAAGTTTAGTGTTTGCTTTTAGTTTATCTTTAATGGATTATTTTAGTGGTTGCTTGACTCGTCAACGAGAAGCCGCAAAAGAAAGGAACCTATAATAAAAATTAGTAACTTATTAGTATGAAACTTTGGCTTCCCATTAAGTATAATGTGTTTTTAATAAAGATACTAAAAATAAAAAAAGGTTAAAAAAAATTGTTTAAGTATTATTGATAATAAGAATGGTAGTTAACACTTATGTATCATTATCTTTGTCTGTATTTATTATAACAGCCAAACCTCTAAATAAATTTTTGAAGTTTCATTTTATTGCCTACTCCCATACATAATTTATAATAATAATAATGGATTTAACACTTATTATTTCTGAAATATCTTATAATAAACTCTATAATATGTCCATCAATAAATCTGAAACTTATGGGAACTCAATATACCCCTTCACGTATTCAGTTACCGGGTATAATCGTTCCCATAATCCAGAAGGCCTCGCCCAATCTCACCACCCCCACACCTTTTGGGACAGGACAAACATATCATATAATTTATGTTCCACTCCCCAGAATCACCCACCCACCTCTTTTCCCTGTGACTAAGCTGATTTCTTGTTTTTTCAGTCGCTCTTCTCTAGTTTTTCCTCTGCCGTTCGTTGTTGTCGCTTTACTTCTGCTGTTTTTGTTGTTTTTGTTGGTGCTGTTGCTGTTGCTGCTGCCTGGTGTGGCAGCTGCTTTGTTTCCATTTTCATTTTCATTGGCATTGAATAGATCAATCATGGACGGGTTCGATGGTATTCGGTTAGCCGTACAAATACTTCAATGATGACCAATTATTCACCAATAAAACTGTCGACCAAATGTCATGAATTGAACTTTTACTTGCTGCGCTAAGCGGAAATCAATCGCAAATTGCTGGGAAAGTGATTTTGAAGAGACTGCGGAATCAATTACGGATTGAAGTATTTTTGTTTTAATGATTTAATGGAAAACGTGTTGCCAATGTGTGTGTATATATTTATTGGCAGATTAATTGAAAAGCTCGTTTAGAATTATTGGCAATCAAAGTAAAGGGTTCTTATGGTATTAATTGATACTTAATTATTTTTTTTAGGATAAAAACTATTTTGTTTCTTTCCCTCGCCAATTAAAACAATTAACTAAGTTCATTTTCAAACTTTTTCAAAATTTTAATGTGCCAGCCTTTTATTAAGTAAATCACCGTCAAACTTTTCCAATAAATCAATCATAATGTATTAAATTTGTTGTATAAAACAGAAATCAACTTAAATGCCAGCGCTTCTGGTCCCTATGAGACCCGAACCCAACCCTTTCACTTCCGACCTATTGGCTTGCATTTTTTTGGGGTCAAAGTTTGTCGGGGACTCGATTTGTTTTGCTTTTGTTTTGGTTATTCCTTTTCCTTTTTTGTTTCTCTTTAATTTCGTATCTTCCGCCCACGCAGTTCATAGCGGGTGGGGATGAACAAAAAATAAAATAAAATAAAAGTATAGTAAACTGAACCGAACCGAACAACAATTTAATGCAACATCATCGAATAAATTGTGGCCAGACTTGTTGCAGTTGTTGTCTTCAGTCAACAAATTGATATCGTGTGGGCGTGTTGTCGTAACGCATTTTATACAAAAAAAGATTTTTCTCAGATTTTCGTTTTGTCTTTTTTTTTAGGGTCTCCTCGGCCAGTTTAATTTGTCGGTCTGTCTGCCTGTCTGTTTTTTTTCTACATTTTTCATTTAAACACTGTCATTCGGATCGTGTTTGACTCTTGGCCTTAGCTTAAGACAATTGTGAGAGGTGTTGCCGGGCAAATCAAATTGCCGCTCAATAAACGGGCAAGCAAATTACAATTGGGATTGTTCAGTTTATTGCCTAGTGCTGTGGCAGTATCGCAATGCTGCAGCGGCGGCAAAAGCGACAGCAATTGCAACACGTCGCTAACAGCTGTGTCAGCTGGCACTTGGCTTTCTGGCGATTTATCTATCTAACATCTCACGGGGACACGCGGCGTATGCGCAATTGCCATTTAATTAAAAATTATTTGCACAGCCAGGCGAAACAATTTTTCGTTGATTTCATTTATCATTATTTTTGTCGTTTTTTTTTGTTTGCTTTTTTTTTTAGCTCTGCAGGTGCGCAACGGAAACGACATAAACAAAATGTTCACACGCTCGCCGGTCCACGAATTTGACTTAATGGCAATTAAGATGGCCAAGTCCACGCACATCTTGAAGCAATCTAATTATAATCATTAGCTGAGCAAGCACTGAGTAAGGCGCACATTTATATATTTATACAATTTTTGCATAGTCCCCCCTGGCAAAGTCATTGGGCAATAAAAATTATACAGAAAAATAAGAGAAGAAAAGCAAATAAATTGCCAGCAGACCAGCAGCAGACCGGGGCGTCTTCATTAATGATAGGAAGTGGAACGCCGAAGAAGAGGCCAAAATCCATTTGACAACATAAAATTTTTGTTTCAAGCAACTGCCGCCACTGGGGGCATTAATACCAACGGCTAATTAACTTGTTGTTGAGCTCGTAAAATAGTTTGGCCGCTCATCAAGATAATAAAGGCCGGGCCAAGTCGGCAGCCAGCCAAGTTTCGGTTTCACTTCGGATCTTTAATTGAGCCCAGAAAATTGTTGACTTTTGTGGCGTCAGCTGCAGGGGAAAAAAAGCAGTCAAAACGATTCACTACTGCCACATATATATATATAAATATATTGGGCACTTCAAGAATGTCCCGAAAAGGGAACGGAACTGGACCGAGCGACCTGACTGCAGTCACTTTTGGTAATTAGATTTTCAAGTCGAGATAATGAAGTGGACATTAAAATTTTACAACCTCCGGGCTAAAACACATATCCACATGAAACCGAAAGCAGGCGAACGCATTCAATAAATTAATTACGAATTTACGAACCTTAGACTAGCCCCTTTTTAATGCCAGGTGGTGGTGTGGAGGGGCGGTTGAGTGCCACACCCAGCAATAAATATTGAAAACTGTCCCTGCCTCTGGGCGAAATCTGGGCAAAAGCAAAACCAGATTTGGATTCACACACATGTCTGCTGGCATTGGCATTTATAATGTAGTATGCATGACTCTAATTAAACCGCAATTGTTGTGTAAACTTTAAGGAATTGATTGCTCGAACACGAACCACGGGACAGGTCGTAATGCAAGAAGTCTTGGCTGGCAATTAAGCAGCAACTGACTCGATAGAGGTTGCCATGACTGCAATAAATGAATCTTGAATTGCAGTCCAAGTCTCGCAGGAAATGGGACCTAAATACTCATTGATTGAGGCGTGATAATAAACAAAATGATTTATTTTTACTGATAAATGAAACCATTTATTGTCTATTTATTAAGTCTTCATTCATTTGGATAATTATCTATCTAATTGCGAATTTCAATTAACAAATATAAAGCAGGACAATTGCAAAATAAAGTTAGCTTTTTATGTTCAACTCTAAATGGATTGGGTCCGATCACGTTAACTGGCTTTTCTTGCTAAATGAAAACAAATATAAAATTAATTAGATAAAATTTAGATTTAAATGAAAACCGATATAGTCCATTGATAATATTCTGTTTAATAACTGATTTAACTACTTTATTTAATTTGAAACTGTTCAATTTAAGTAAAGAGAATTTAATACAAGAAAACGAAAAAATAGTTTAATTTAATTAATTAAAATTTTACGACTCATATTTTTACATTATATTATCTAATCGAAAAACCACTAAAGAAAAGTCCTTAAACCTCCCATGTAATAAAACTGCACAATCTGCTTTTCATTCATTGCTAATAGTTCCTAAATATCTTTTCAATCAAACTTATCAATTTTAGTAATGTAAATTTAAACAAAAGTTAATGAAAAAATAGTTTTATTTAATTAGTTTCAATTTAAAGACTCACATCTCTTCACATTATATTATCAAATCAAAAAACCTCTAACGACTTTGATGGCCTCCAGGCTCACCCCCAATTGCCTTTAATTGAAGTCGTATCACAGCAACCGATTGATGTTGTTACTCTAGTTTTATAACCCATAACAGGGGGCTATAACTGAATATAATAAAAAAAAAACCCAGCCTGTGCCTGTCTAAGAATGCTCCCAAGCCCATCGCCCAATGCCCTCCCAAACCAGAAATGTTGCAATCATAACTTTTGCTCTCCCAGCGAAAATGCTTCATGCTGGGCCCAAAAGCTGATGACCTTTTGGCATTT